GCAGCTGGGGCAGCCGCGGAATGAGCTATCGCACAGCTGGTCGCAGTGCTTTCCTACCTATCAACGTCTGATAAGAAGTGCAATGTCAATGTTTATATACGATTTTCTTCATTGTCATTTGCTTGCTCGATATACTGGATTGAGCAGCGATAATCGTTGCCGCGCTGCTCATGTTGGGATCACGTCATCACCCAGGCAAAGGACGCCAGGCTGGCCTTTAGCTGGGAGGCCTGCTACAATGTGATTACAGCCAACAGATTATGTAACATCGTCATGAACACATCAACGCCAACGAATGGATGTATTTCAGCTAATCGGCGATAGGATATACAGAAGTTGCTCGGCTGTAACAGCAGCAATAGCTGGCAACTACCTACAAGTTACATATACGAGAGGATCATTATAGGCAAAGGGCGGAAGAGAACAACGTGAAGACATTTTTTCGTGAGCAATTTTGCCCTTTGTCTAAAACAGGTCGATTCATGAAAATAGGATGGAATGCGAGGCAGACTTTGTTGCTGTACGCTTGCTTAAGAAGCCGGCAGTCAGTCAGTCAGTCCCTGAACCACGAACGAGGACTGTGCAAAGTCAGCGGTGATTTTATTATCGCATTTTATCCAACTAGGCATGCTTATCAAATCGGCGATTTGCGCAAAACAACCATAAGCCTCTTGTTACGTCTAGTTTTTTTTTTTTTTGTTTTATGTGCGTAACTAGGTCAACGCGAACAACGCGGCGTTTCGATATTTCGTTCGTAAGAGGACGCTGAAGAAGTGGCGCCGATAGTTCGTATGATCTGTTAAAATAAAAAATAATTTATTAACTATACTCTTCTCTGTCAGGCGATTACAAATTAAAATGGTAGCAATGATAATAATCAGCTTAACGAACAAACAAAGAAATACTCTTCGCTCGTAAACGACTTTGATTGGCTTGAGATAGTATGTATATTTCGGTACACACGAGTTACCGATCAGCGACTAAGCGGTCTGTCTTCGAGCAGCTGACTGTCATTGTTCCTTCTGCTTCAAACAAATACCCTGTATCCTATATAACGCAATCGTTGCCTGTCAACGTCCTCCCTTAATGAATCAGCACTCTTATTATAGATAAATAATAGACCATGCCTATTTGAATAAAGGCTACATTTAATTTTATATTTATGTCCTGCATATACTATACACAGTCTATTTTACATAGAGACGAACAATGAAGGATAGATGAAAGTTTGTATCGAAAATACAGACAAATACTAATGAAGTAAAACTTTCGTATAATACAATGGCACCGGAAGCTAAAGGACTGAAACAAAGAAAAAAAAAAACGGAACTTGCATAAATAAGCAGAAGTAGTTGCATCTCTGCTCGTAACCATTAAATACAAAATGAACAAGGTTCATTTGTCTACATTAGTTGTATTTATCTCGCAGTTGTGTTAAATCTCTGTTAAATTATTCACTATCTTTTCGCCACCTTGTAACTTATCGAGCAGCATACAGCATGAAGAAAATAAATATCAAAGATGTCTGTCTACCAAACAAGCTCTTGAATTTGAATGTACTATCGTTTTACGATATGTAAGCGTAACATTGTTGCAGGATGCACCAATTCAATCTGTACGCGTCACCGTTTTTTTTTTTTTTTTTTTAATTTTTCGTGACAAACACCAACTGTAATCAAGTCAACTTTGATCGAAACCTTTCTTAATCTGCCTAGCCTATGGCGTCGACGTCCGTACTGCGCGTGCTTTAGAAATTATTAAGTTTATAACTCCTATAAAAGTTAATTGTTGCAACACCTACATTGCTAAGTATTCGCCTCACTTAGTTCTCATCCAGACATCAGGTCCATTGGACTCAGTGGGGATCAACAGTGTTGGTGAGTTGAACTGCTTGAACTTTTCTCTGACGCAAAGTGGCGACCAGGATCCGGAATCGAACTCTCTGTGTCCTAACAAAACGACAAATCGAGCCCAACAATAGATTGAGACTAAACATTGTCTGAGGCTTGCTTGTCTCCAATGAGTAACTCTGCCACATTTTTCACTGCGATGCATTGAAAATTTCCCGCCAGACATCGAAACCCGACTAAGTATCTATCTACTATTTCATGTGGATGACACAAAACAAAACTGGTATCGTTTGTTGGCATTATAGTTTTTTCCTACTTTTAAAATTGCCGTTGCCGCGTGAAGGTGGTGTATTTTTCTATCCGAAAAAAATACACCACCTCCATTCGATGAATCATGTGTGAATTTATACATGCACTGCTAAAATGATCCGATGCGACACGTTTCGCTGAAGAGCGCCATCTGTTGTTGGGATTCGTGTGCAAAGAGAAGATTTGCCAACGTTGACGAGTAGTATCATGCATCAACCCTGTCGGGCAATGGTGTTGGTCCCCGTCTGGGTCGACGCAGAGGCTCTACGACGCCCGCAGCCGGGACCACTCAAGGCCACCTACTGATCCAGACAGAAGCAAAACGCATATACACAAACCGATAGATAGATGGACGAACGGACGGACGGACAGACATGAATTTGCTTGAACCACAAGCGCGACCGACCGGCCGAGCGAGCGACGCTAAACGCCGTTCCGAAGAGCAAAACATTTCAAACGAGCTGCGGCCGTTTGGCTGGATTCTTAACACAAGAGGCTATTACTCTTTCATTATGACAAGTGGGGCCTCTGGACGAAGAAGGGCGAAGCAATTTGACGTCGATGTGGCGGGGGGACGTTTGTAGGGGCGGAAATGTGAAAATCGCATAGGGCAGGAAACATTGGACGTTAGACATCTGAGGAAGCAAAGTAAAGGGCGCCACTTATCATATACGGTGGCGAAAGTCATGGAAATAATAAGATTGTTGAACAATAGATAAGATCCGTTCGAAGCTAGGATTGTGCACTGAATGATCTTAATTCGAATTTTTGCCCGCCTTCTCAATCGCTTTGGCTAGAGCCCCTCCACATCACTGGCTTCGTGTGCTTGTGAAACGTATAAATGCACATTTATAAAATCACATGACTTTTCAATATATTTGATATTTAATAGTAATACGATTCGACAGAAGGAAGAACAGCTAAAGCACAAACACAGGCAGGTACGAATAAGACATTGATTTAATGAGATTTCGGGTAAAGTAATTTAATAGACATCTGTGATCGATACGATCTCGTCTCATTTTGTGTAGTTATCGGTAAAACTAACACATCCGTGCTGTTAGAATAAGTGGTGCGTAATATTGTTACGATGCTGCAACCTATTTTATATAAATTTATAATTTTATTTTCAAATAAAAAACTCGTCCGCGGTATATACAGGTGGCACGAGGTATTAGCTATATATCAGGTTAAGGCTTGCGATTTGCGATGCTAAGTTTTTCTCAAAACTTTCGTCTGTGCGGGCATTCAAAGTTCTTTGTTGTTCTAACGTTTGGCCCGAAAGGCACATTAACCACAACTCGGCATCATTCTACTATCCGTTCTCTAAAACGTAAACGTTAATTGTTTCAGGACATCTTTGACGATAAATCACATAGTCTGGAACTGCTATAAATCTGTTTCTGACCAAACAGCTTCCAATGAGGTCAGATAGGTGGTTGTGCAGAAATTCGCTAATGTAAGATCTCCATAAAGCTTTTATAGCAGTAATTAGAAGGCTGATATAGATACGATTTTTTTTTTCGTCAGACCTGTTTGCCAAACTAGTGCAAGCAGTCGGGGGTAACAAGCTGATGTACGGCGACTAGAGCTGCGAAGTACGATATTTGCTGACGGCATATGGCGGACGAAAAAAAGTACGAAGCTGCTATCTGTGGTCGTCGCTGTGAGGGATGACGGTAACGACAAAGATGGTAGGTATGTATAGGCCAGCTAAATGAAAGGGGTTGAATTGATATGTCGCAAAATACGATGGCGGCATGAGCATGAGGAAACAGTTCTTCATTCCAGTACGACTATGAATGCCGTTCTCTCTGTCTGATTGTATACCTTATGTGAAGTACGTAACAGCTCATTTGGTTGCCAGCTGAGACGAGAAAAGTCTAGCCAGTATTCTAGCATAGCGTGCCTGCTCTCGGCTATCAGTGTGAAAACATGTATGGCCGTCCGTCGTAACTCTTCACGGAACGCTTCGGTGCACTGGATTGACTATGCTCGCACATGGAACCATTACCCCACAAGACCTCTAGAGAAGACTAATCAGATATTCTGGTTATATGTAACGGCATCGTAAAATAAATTCATAGGAAATAACCGTTGTTAAACTGACAAAATAGTGCGTAGAATTTTTGAAGCAGTATAAGATGAGAAGAAGCTCTATACTGGTGGATGGACAGTACGGACTATGGGGTAGTACATTGGCGTTTGTTGCATTTTCGGGCTTGCACGCAAGAACGCTAAATCATCAGCCGACTTTCGCTAGATAATATCTTTAGCTAAACAGTGTCTGAAGGTGCAATTCTATCGGCCCCCATTTAAACTGCGTTGTAATGTTCAAATTAGTTTTTTTTTTAAATTTTAGTTTTTATCTTCTGTATACTTTTTCAATGCGTAAGATGTTTTCTTCTTAGTTAATTTCTCTGTATGTTCTGTTCGATTATCTCCAATCATTCGCTGTAAGCGTTATCGAGTTAGCTTTTCCATCGAAAACCGTTCTAATTAACACATTTGGCTATCTAGCTCGTATGAGATCAATGTATCGAAAGCGGCCGAGCGCTACCCGTATTTCGATGACAGATCATCAATTGTATGCATATGCGATACTGCTCATAATATCAGTATACCCAATCCCCAGTTTTACTTCAACTATCTGCTAGTTTCCTACAAGTCGTCAAATGTTTTCTATTCTATATTTTGGAATGGGATCCTTATACATATCATTTCATTTTCTGAGTATTGGCGACGTATTAGATTGAAACACTGTCTATAATGTTCATTTGTAGAACTAAGGAGTTGCTCTATGTGGTGTAACAGTTCACGAGCGGAAAGCAGTATATATACCTTTGGCTGACAAAACTCTGAAGAAGCAATGAGCGACCCTCCCTTTCGTCTGATGTCTTACGTTTTCCCGTGCATTTCTTCGTATTCCTTGATAGCATTACAGACGCAGACGCTGTTGGTGTTTTAGCGGCGTCGGCTACCTGCAGAAAACATGGCGTCGGCGTCGTTAATGCTTGGAACAGCCGCAGCTGACAGCTGACAATATTATGACGTCGTCATAGCGACTAAATAGAAAGCTATCATACTGCTAGTAAAACCCAGATAGCCAGAGCTACTGGACCACTGAATCAGTTCTGCCAGATAGAGTTGGTTATTTTACCAGCCGCTTGCCGAGCTTTCTCGTGACGCTGCATGCTCCCTGTACACGAGACTGCTAGTTGAAGGCCAACTGACGTCACAGACGGGCACAAAAGGCATACTAAAAGCGTGAATGAAATAGCCATTAATAGATTGTGTGAGGCTCTCGGGTGAAAGGCCGCGTTCAGGGTCAAAACAGGTTTCAACCAATGACCGAAGAAAGAAAACCGTTTTGTGTAAAGGAACATCAACAAAGAAAAACTGCACAATGCGGAGACGCTATATAGGAAAGCGTTCTACATGGAACATATATACTTTTATCTATTATTATTTTTTTTTTACAGAAAACAAAAAATTAGACGCAGTGATTTAACAATGTATCAGACGCTATCTACTGACGCGTGTACTTTATTCGATATGGCCTATCCGAGAGCTGTAAAATCTCGCACGCTACATCAACACTAGCCGGAGATCGGCGGCAGTACCTATATAAAACCATAGTGCTAGAAAATGAAAGATTACAGAGAATTCACCTTGAAAGACAAAATGGAAAAGTAGGTCGATTCAAACATTTAGTCTTTACTGGCGCTTCCCGTGGACTTATCTTTAACTTGAAATAACGCCATTTCCTTACGTTTGATTTTCCAAAGCCGTAAGGTAAATTCAAGAAAATTCTATGTAATAATTACGTTTAGATTTAGCTATTTGATCAGTGTTTTAATTTGTTTTTAATTCAACAGTAGATAGGTCAAACGCTCTTACGCAGTAATGCCGATGCACTTCAAAATTCTTGTTAAATAAATAAAACAAAAAAATAAAAAATTATGTTAAACCATAGGGAAGATTTTTAAATACAATTACAATTTTACAGAGCTCCCCTGAACGAAAGTTAAACAGTTTAATCATTTTAAAGTATACACCAACAGATTATCGTAGCCTGTTGCACCCCGTTAGAAAACCGTTAAAATGCACTTTTTCTCCGAGAACTCTAACATGCCTATAAGAAACTCAATAAACGAGCGGCGAAAAAAAAAAGCCATTGAATTTTTATAGTAAGATCTAAAATTTTCGTGTGAACTTTACGAGATTTTTCAAAATTAGGGGCTGGCCTTTCCAGAAATGATGATGCAGTATAGTCTGTATAGGGTACGTAGCTGTCGTTCCGAATTTTTTTTTATTTAGCTTGCTTATCAAGCGTAGCATAGAAATCGGCGTACCTGTCAACTGCAATGTGTCACAGGTGTGTAATCATGAGTTGAAAGGATTATACGATTCTGTTTTCTGTACTCCAGAAATATGCGCGCATATGGACTAATGAGTTATTGTAGCGGGTCCTATAGTCGAAAATTAGCAAACAACGTCAGCCCGAGGGCTAGAATGTGTTCTAAGCCGCCAACTGAATAGCAGCTACTCTTTCTGTGAACTTCTGTCACATACAAAATCAAGTGACGCTTCTCTTCAATTTGCCATCACCGCATCCTTTCGAAACGTCGTTGCTCCGTCAGCAGCATGTAACCGTCGACCTGAACCATTTCGTCTAAATACAGAGGATTAAATCAGGTTCTTTAAAGCATTTCAATTGCGATGAACGTGCGCAGGTCTACTATACAATCCACTAATAAGATGGGCGTGTGGTGGTCAACGGACATACAACACGCGGGCTAGTGAGTGCGCATGGCTTCTTTGTGCGGACACAGCGCAGTCAGTTACCCAGTTTTAAGACTTATACATGAGTGAATACAGGCTCGCATGCGTCTTTGTAGTCTACTAATCCCCTGCTATGCGACCGACTTGATGGTAGCAAAGAATAAACGAACGCGGTTCACCTCTGCATGCCCGCGCGCGTTGGTCACAGAAGACATCGAAGGCCAGCAGATACGACGACGGTCAGCGTGACCGCCTATTCTCATATTCAAACTCTTTGTTTCGAAACGTTGGGTAGCCTAGCAGGCGCCCCCCTCGCGCCCTGTTTTCCTCTGCCCCGAAGCAGACTTAACTTCGGTTCAGGCGCCGCTTTCAGACTTTGGCCTGTTCAGCGGACAAAGGAAGTGGTTTGGTTATGGAGATTTGCTATGCCTGCTAGCCAGCAAAGCTGTTCCTGAATGCTTCTGAATTTACTCCTGATATGGCCGCCCCGTCTTTGCGCCCTTCCTCGATCTTTACGCAGGCCTGCAAACAGTCTCCATGAGCTTCGTTGCCCTATTTAGCCAGCTTCTCTAGCTAGTGGAGGGCTAGCTTCGTCTGTGTCTCGTCGATAGATGTGTGAGGCAGCGGTTCGGATCAGTTAGCTAGACGTTCTTTCCTCTTATTGACTATTCCCTAGCCTAGACGTCCAGGCTCTTTTGGTATTCGAAAGAAGTTAGTACAGCACCTACCACTGTGTGATATCTTTCTGTGTTTTTCCCTCTCGCTGAGCCTTATCAGCATCTCAAGATAGATTTTCGTAGGACGGAGTGGCCTGAACAAGCAAGCCCTGGTAGTACTTAGTCCCGAGATAGGCCCTGTGAGCCACGAACCTACAGAAACCCACTCTGCTTGAACCCAGCTAGTTACGAATTTACAGAAGCTAAGTGAATCTTCGTTTTGAAGAAATAGGCAGCCATATCAACATTGGCGGCATTAGCAGCAGTAGCGATGCGAGCAGCTAGCTAGTGCAGCGGTCAACGGAAACGCACAACCGGCGCACTACTAACATTCCTGCATTCTCTGGCTCTCTCCCTTAAATCTTCCTCTGGTTTGCGCCCTCGTCGCAACGTCCAGACATACAAGTGCCCACTGAATTGGAGGGCAGTAGGAGTTTAAGGCGGGTTGTCTCTCTGTCGAGTTTAATCGAAGAGAGAGTCTCGATGAGGCCAGTGAGCAGCTGGCTCTCCTGCATCACGCCTACTATGAATACAAGGAATCGTACACGAGCATGCATATACACACACACTCTCACACGCACACAGACGCCTATAGTCGCCTTAGATCGACTGGTCCAAATAGATAGCCCCAACTCCACACCACCATGATGGGGAGAACGGAAGGTTCCGACGATCAAGGCGATCCCCACGTTTCTGACCCTGTCACCCCTATTTACCATGCTCGACGTACTACGCAGTCTTACAGCGGGCCCCATCCGTTACCCAGCTATGCGCCCCCTCGTAAACTATCAACCCGGCCGTTTGCGATCCTTCGCTCTGTCGCCCTATATCCAGTAGAGTTCGTCAGGAATGAGCGCTGCGGCAGCAGCGGGTGAGACCGTGGATTCGTCTTCGGCAGTCTGCATGCACTTTATAAAGAGACTCGGTGGCCTCGAAGGCCCCCATCCCAATAACCCATCTTTCCTCAAAGCCCGCTTGGTTTTCTGTATGTCCATGATAGAATTACAAGCAACGGCTCCCTTTCATCGAAGTTTCGGTGCTTCTGGTATATGGGTGGGGCCCAGTGGGAAGTCGACAGCGTCGAAGACGACGCTTGTGTCTCAAGCTGGTGACGGTGGTCGCGTAAACAGATCAAACTTTTTTCATTACCACTGCGGGGAATACTTACTACTACTTTCCTTGGCCGTACTACAACCAGTTGGTTTACGCGCGGTTGGCGCGAAGCTCCTCCCATCGTAGAGGGTTGCCGCTGCCCCCTGGAGTCCTATAAGATGGATCCTGTCGAGACTTTAGCCACGAGCTATATGAACCCGCCCTTTCCGGGGTCCTTGAAACTACCGCGCCTTAGAAGAAACCCTTTCGTATTAATAGTTGTTGTAGTAGTAAGTAGCCTAGCGACTAGCTATCTCTGTCAGCCCACGGGCATGGCTTCCTATACCGAAGCGATGCCGTGCCTAGCACGACCAGGTCGATTACTTGTAAGAAGAAAGGATTACTACTCCACAGGCTCTCCACAGTGAAAGAAGTTTGCCAAAAGCTTGCTCGGAACAGAGTTAGCTTTAAAGACGCTCCTTAGGTGTTAAAGGTCTTACTGGAATCTCGATCCAACAACAACAACTTACGGCTGATCAAGCAGATTGGTCCTAGTTAATCTAAGTTGGTTATTCTGTACGTGTATGCTCGTTGGTAAGATGTGTGAATCTACGTCTGCGAAGCGACGCTTGCTTTCTCGCTCTCCTGTTTTCGCTTCTGCCCCAGATTACACCCGGACAGAGTATGAGTACAGGCATATATATACATATATGCGTGTACTCATATACTCAGCCGACGTGTCACTCCTCGACAGTGAAGCTTATTCACAATTGGCCAGAAGTTGGTTAACTTATTTCTTTTCCTCGTCTAGATGAGTTGTCGCGTTCGAGTAAACTTAACACTGAACTAAATAAGTACGAGCGCGAATAGACTGTTTGTAATAGCAGTAGCTCTGTGCTGACAGCCGGGAGCCGACGAATCTCAGCATCTCTCTGACCGGATTGAGTTTTTCATCTTGTTTCAGTAGCTGAGGTAAACTTGCCTAAGTAGTTAGAAATGTCAGTCGATAGTACCCATAGCGTGTTCTGCGGGTGCAACTTTCCGCTGGAGTCCTAAGTTTAATTTCTCATTAAACGCTAACGAATCATGAAAAACAATCAAATTCTCAAAAAAAAAAAAAGGAGATCAGCAATGTTTCACAGATAAGTTGAAAGATTCCATCTCGTAGTGGCCGGTAGAATATGTTTATCTGTTGGCAAATGTTATCCTTTTGATCCGCAGTTGATGATAACGACGTTCTTCACGTCGTTCCTACACACTCAGTACGCATTAACGATTACACGATCAAACGGGATGTGAGACTCACATCGAATTCAACCTCTAATCACTGCCATGAAAGAAGATCCATTTGATCTATAATAGCAGAAAGAGTCATG